AGGTGATCGTTAAGCGGGGGTCCACTGTAATTGCCTCCATTCAACTGTCATCAGTAACTGCATGGCTAACTATCATCACCATCATCATCATCATTGTCATCATCATCACAAGTCATCAGAGTTCATCTGCCTAACCTTACGAGTGGAGAGTGTTTTGTTTGTTCATTATTTGTTATTAAACCACAACATGTATATACGATATTTTACGATGTTTTCATGTGTTTAATGATTGTTCATGGTTCAATAGGTTAACCCTTTCAGGGTCCAAGGCCCAAATCTGGAGTCACGCACCAGTGTCCAAGAATTTTCAAAAAAAAAATTTGTTATTTTTTCTTATGAAATCGTAGAGAATCTTTTTGTGAAGGTAATAAAACAAAAAGTACGAAATTTGGTGGAAAATTGACGAAATTATGCTCTCGCAAATTTTGATGTGTCAGCGATATTTACGAATCGGCGATTTTGCCGACTTTGACTCCCATTTTAGGCCAATTACATTATTCCAATCAACCAAATTCTTAGCTATTTCACTAGTATTACTTCTATTCTATCGATTGAGCACAAGAAATCGCCAAGTCAACTGTTTCAACTACAAAATAAAGTGATCGGAAATTGTTAATTTGGCCAATTTAACACAAAGTTCAAAATATTCCAATTTCAAAATAGGCTCCAGAATGAACAATGTAGGCATTCCTGGCACTAAACTAACATTTCCTCTGTTCATTAGTTATGTTTTGAGGCTTTACAAATAAATTCCATTTTGATTTTTTATTCACATAATGAATTTTTATTCACACCAAAAAATAGAAGATTTACTGTTATGCAATACTGTAATAATTGTATAAATATCATCACCATATTTGTGAATGTATATTAGACCCACCAGCTGACGTGTATTAGATGTGTGAGGTCGTTTGTTTACTCTTGAATGTCGGCAAAAATTTAACATTTCTGCTACTTTGAGCTCAGTTTCAAGCCATTTCCAGTGCTAAAACCAATCAAAATCATCTCTATTTCTGTAATATGTCTTCCATTCTATCAAATGAGACCAAGAAATCGCAAATACAACTATAAAAAACATACGAAAAAACACTGCAATGTTGCTGTTTTAATCGAAAAATCATGATTTCATTTTTTTTTCTCTCATTATACACAGTGTGCTGCAGGATCTGTTTTATGTGGTGCACACATACCACATAGATGTATTCTCTCATATCTAGGCCCAAATGTACCACTCACAGTTTATCAGAGTGAGCTGAGCTCATGGCGTAGATCTACGGTTTGGACCCTGAACGTAAAGCCGTAGATCTACGGGACGGACCCTGAAAGGGTTAAGGAAGCAGTACTATTAGGCTAAGTAAATGCTATTATTATATTTCCTTTTAATATATTTGCACACCAAACATTCGCAAATTTTCAAGATTCGCAAGGTTCTTGATCCCCTAACCCTCGCGAATATGGAGGGCCTCCTGTAAATATCTCAAGTCACTTTATTCCTATTGTATCTCTTTTTACTGTCAATAGGATGATGTGATCTCTAACATGACAGAAAAGTGAATTATTGATGCCAGCATTCCTAACACTTTTGTGTTCTTTGAGTCTGTCAGAAAGAGAGCGACCAGTTTATCCAAAGTATTGGAGAGGACAAGAGGAGCATGAAATAGAGGAGACACCAGGGGTGTCTATAGTGACAGGAGAGGTACAAACTATTTTACTGGTCTCAGACTGGGCTGCGGGGGTGCTGACCCCTGAAACCCTCTCCGGGCATACTTCAGGAAAGATGTTAATTTGACGAAAAGTAAGTTTAACGTCTAAGGAACGGGAAGTGTTGTCGAGATTAGAAAACCTGGAAATATAGGGATGGCAGAGAACAGGATTTCACAGGAGCAGAGAGTTTGGGAGAGAAGAAAGTCTGTTTAGCATGTGATAAGGCAGAGTTCATGAAATTCAAAGGGAGCCAAGACAAGAGAATGAATTACAAAGTGGAAATTTTCAAATCAAGGAACTGAGGGTCACAAATATGGAGGGCATGAAGAAAGGGAGAAATAAGAACAATTTTCTTGACAGAGGAACCACAGTAAGAAAAGTAATGAATATACATGCCACTGTGCACAGGCTTGTGATAAATGGAAAAAGAAAAGTCTGTAGCTAAGCAGTGGATATGTACATCAAGGAAAGGAAGCAAAGAGTTAGATTCCCATTCAGCTTTTTACTTTAACTGAACTTCACACAGTTAAGTTACTTAGCTGTTTTAAATTTTAAGGTTATAATCATAACTGATTTTTATTATAACTTATAGCTAGGCTTTAAATCATAAGACATAACAAGAACCCCAATGGAAATAAGTTACTCTGATTTCATTTGTTTATCCTAGATAATTTACTTTTTTTTTTAACACACTGGCCATTTCCCACCAAGGCAGGGTAACCCAAAAATAAAGAAAAAACCATCATCATTCAACACTTTCACAATCACTCATACATAATCACTGTCTATGCAGAGGCGCTCAGATACGACAGTTTAGGTGTCCCTCCAAACTGCCAATATCTCAAACCCCTCCTTTAAAGTGCAGGCATTGTACAGTACTTCCCATTTCCAGGACTTGAGTCTAGATAATCGGTTTCCCTGAATCCCTTCACAAAATATTACCCTGCTCACATTCCAACAGGTCGTCAGTTCCCAAAAACCGTTCGTTTCCATTCACTCCTATCAAACAAGCTCATGCATGTTTGCTGGAAGTCCAAACCCCTCACCCACAAAACCTCCTTTAACCCCTCCCTCCAACCTTTTGGGGACAACCTCTACCCTGCCTTCCTTCCCCTACAGATTTATACGCTCTCCAAGTCATTCTACTTTGTTCCATTCTCTCTAAATGACCAAACCACCTCAACAGCCCCTCTTCAGCCCTCTGACTAATACTTTTAGTAACTCCACACCTCCTCCTAATTTCCATACGACGAATTCTTTGCATAATATTTACACCACACATTGCCCTTGGACACGATATCTTCACTGCCTCCAGCAGCAACTCACTGCAGCATTTACAACCCTTGCTTCACACCCATATAAGAGTGTTGGTACCATTATACTCTCGTACATTCCCTTCTTTGCCTAAATGGATAACGTTTTTTGTCTCCACAGATATTTCAACGCACCACTGACCCTTTTTCTTTCATCACTTCTATGGTTAACCTCATCCTTCATAAACCCATCCACTGATACGTCAACTCCCAAATATCTGAAAACATTCACTTCTTCCCTACTCCCTTCCTCCAATGTAATATCCAATTTTTCTTCATCTAAATCGAGTGATACCCTCATCACCTTACATTATATCTATGTTCACTCTCAACTTTAAATTGAATTACATGCACCTGTACCTAAATAAATTTACTTAAAATGTCTTCACTCCACCAAAGCAACTGTTAAAAGTTGGCTAACATTAAGTTAGGTTATATCAACAAAAATGTTTCTTCCCATAGGCACTAAATTTAGATATAGTATCTCCAATGCACAATGCATCTATTAAAGAATTTACATAATAAAAACACATCTGGGTGTAAAGTATATACAGTGGACCCCCGCATAATGATTACCTCCGAATGCGATCAATTATGTAAGCGTATTTATGTAAGTGCATTTGTACGTGTATGTTTGGGGGTCTGAAATGGACTAATCTACTTCACAATATTCCTTATGGGAACAAATTCGGTCAGTACTGGCACCTGAACATACTTCTGGAGTGAAAAAATATCGTTAACCGGGGGTCCACTGTACATACATGTATTGACCCAAAATACTATCTCAACTGCAAAATCTTTTTAATATATTACAAATTAAACTATAATTAAAGGATTATATTGGCCAAGAAGCAGTTATAAACTATTACCAAATTTTCAAATATTAAGTTGGTTTTTCAATGGATACAGATATTTTTCGGGCCTATGGGACAGCAGCTTTTTTTTGGTAATGCAAATTTTGCAAACCAACCTAACCTAGACCAGGAGTTAAATTCTAGGTTAGATTAACTGTGGTTCATTAGGTTAGGTTTGTTACTAGAAAACAGCCTTTATCCCATTGGACTCAAATATAATCGTGTCCATCAAACAATTCACTCAATATTAGGGAATTTACATAATGGAAAAAATGCCTCTACACTGCACATTAGCCATTATTTTTAGTGCCTAGGGAATAGGAAACAATTATGTCTGATCTAAGGAAAGGGGAAGCAAACTCCAAATCCTTGGATTGGGAAGGAGTAACAAAAACAAAATAGCTTTGTTGAGCAAGTAAATTTGCAAGCATATTATTATTTTTACAGGGAAGGGTTAAACACACAGGGGTCAAACATTATTATTATAATCATGGGAGAGCACTAAACCTGTAGGGATTATACAGCGCCTGTGGGGGAGGGGGGAATGGAAGGTATTCAGACTCAATTTAGGGAACTGGCGCACAGATCCAATTCCCTAGATCAAGAGCCCCTCCCCAGCATCAAGGAACCTCCCTTGAGGGGTAGGGGTCAAACAGCACTTGAAGAAGGGGGGGGTCAACAAGACTCAAGTAAAGGAAACAAGACAGGCCCAATTCCATAGATCAACAACCCCTCACGAGCATCTAGCAACTCTGAGGGACTGCAAGCATATTATTAATACAACCAAAACTAAGCGCTAAACCCACAAGTGCAATATTGCACTGCAAGCAAATCAGTTCTTTTCCCACAATATGAGACGTCACCACAAATGCCAAGTTGATTATGGGAAAGCTTGAAACCTGTAAGAGTCGTGCATCTGGGAAACGAGATAATTAGGTTTCATCTACGGGGAAAGGGAGTTTAACTCCAATTCTCTGGATCAAGAGCCCTTCACCGGCATCTAGGCACCACCCTTCAAGGACCAGACCACCTGAACTTAAGACATCGGTGTAGGCCTACTGTTCCAAAATCAATTGTACCAACGTATGCATAACATGGAAGATATAAAGAAACGACTTTATTAGCCTACCTAACACAGAGAGAGTGACAGAGTCTTCCAAGGAAGAGCCGAGAAGTAAGAAATTGTCAGAGACGACTTGAGCAACGTTACTTCCCGGCAGCCATGACGCTCACTGCTTTCAACTATTATTGTTTTGTTTTACTTTATTCAGTTACCTTAAGTTACATCTACATCAGTTTTTATGCGCCAATAACACGTGTGCCCTTACAACAATTGTTCAAAAAAAAGTATGTTACGTACGCAATGCTTAAACGTAAACTTACAAGGCTACCAGAGGATCTTGACTAAAATTGAATAGCCTCTTCACGACCCCAATGGAAATAAATCAATGACAATAACAAGTTTATTTTACCATGATACATGTTTGTACAAAGGAGTGTAATAATTTGGTTAACAAGTCAAAAGCCCCTTAATATGTAGAGCATTTCGGGCAAACTTAACATTAATATTAGTCGGACTTTTTGGGGGTTATCCTGGATAACTTACACTATGTATGATAATAGTACTGATATGTATCTCTACCTACCTACCCGGGTTTATTTAAACTTACTATAACGTTTTGCCCAAGCAACGGGTCTTTTCAAGTCAACAACAGATATTTCTCTTTGTTGGGCTTAACTGCCATTGACCTAAAAAGAGGTCAAACAGATAAACGTGGATGTGGAGTCAGGTGTGTGGACTCCACTAACAACTCTGGCAGTCATGGGTAGGAGAGAACCTATAAGCAAACTGGTGAATTAGACACATGTACAATATGTAATAATGTTGGTAGAATTACCGACAATATGTAAAGTAAAATGTCACGTTATTTGCACTTGTGTCCTTTTACTTTACACATGTGCAATATCTGGGTATCTCTATTCTATAGATATTTCGCCAACCAGTGGCTATACCAATACAATACATATCCGAATTATTATTATTATAATAAAGGGGGAAGCGCTAAACCCGGAGGATTATACAGCGCCTGGGGGGGGATGTGGAAGGCATTGAGGCTTAATTCGGGGAACTGGAGCACAGATCCAATTCCTTAAATCAAGAGCCCCTCACCAACATCAAGGATACATATCCGAAGACCAGAAAAATATACAGAAGACAAGTGCAAACTGCATGTATCCTGAAAAAGACTGCATCACTGACTGGAACACGTGAACCCCAGTGGAATGTTTACCTGGAGTTTACCTGGAGAGAGTTCCGGGGGTCAACGCCCCCACGGCCCGGTCTGTGACCAGGCCTCCTGGTGGATCAGAGCCTGATCAACCAGGCTGTTATCCTAAGTAATTTACACAATGTATGATATTTGTACTTAGTAAGTAAGTTTATCCAGGTATACATAAATACAGTTACATAGATTATCATACATAGCAGATATGCATGATAGCATATGCAGCATAAGCATGATAGTGGCCTTCTCTGCACTGTAACTCATTTTTGTAACTTAATAATCTCAATGTAATCTTGCAAGGAAATAAATATTGATTGACTGATTGATATGTGTAGAGAACCTAGGATAACCCAAAAAAGTCAGTGACTTATTTTCATTGGGGTCCTTTTAATACCTTCTTATTATACAATGTAGGAGATATTATTATACCGTAAAGGATATATACTAGGAATAAGGTAAATAGAGTTATTTACATCTACATGTTTGTTAGCTAATAAAATAAAAAAATCATTCTCCTCTCTGTTGCCACTTATGTGTACCTTTCCTTACATAGACTTTCTTACTTACTAAGGCTACATTACTGGCAATACCAACGCTAACTCCTGCTACTACCACCGCTAATTATCGTCAATATAATAATAATAATAATAATAATAATAATAATAATAATAATAATAATAATAATAATAATAATAATAATAATATATAATAATTATAATAATAATAATATGTAGTTTTCTACATGTTGCATCAAGTAGGTAAAAAATCGAAGAATATGTACAGACATATGTCTCAGTGTATAGTATACTCAAATGTCTCTCGGCGCATATATACACAGATGTATGTCAGGAGGAAGTGGTATGGTGATACCGACAAGATGTGGAAAAAGACACTTATGTACAGTTCAGGACATTTATTAAAGGAAACGTTTCGCCACGAGTGGCTTCTTCAGTCTTAATACAGAGAAAACTAGAAAACATTATATATATATTATCATATATATTATATATATATATATATAATATATATATATATATATATATATATTATATATATATTATATATATAATGATGAACTGTATGCAAGGGTTCTAAAGGATATGTAAAGAGGAGCTTAGCACACCTTTGGCTAATCTTTTCAACATATCACTACAAACTGGCATGGTGCCAGATAAGTGGAAAATGGCAAATGTGATACCTATTTTCAAAACAGGTGACAGGTCCTTAGCTTCGAACTATAGACCAATAGCCTAACTCCATAGTGGAAAATTTATGGAATCAATAAATTGCCGAGGCAGTTCGTAGCCACCTTGAAAAGCATAAATTAATCAACGAATCTCAGCATGGTTTTACAAAGGGCGTTCCTGCCTTACGAATTTATTAACTTTTTCACTAAGGTATTTGAGAGGTAGATCATGGTAATGAATATGATATTGTGTATATGGACTCAGTAAGGCTTTTGACAGGGTCCCACATCAGAGACTATTGAGGAAAATTAAAGCACATGGAATAGGAGGAGAAATTTTTTCCTGGATAGAGGCATGGTTGGACAAATAGGCACAGAGAGTTTGCATAAATGGGGAGAAATCAGAGTGGGAAGCGTCACGAGCGTGTTCCACAGGGTTCAGTGTTGGCCCCCTGCTGTTCACAATCTACATAACGACATAGATGAGGGCATAAAGAGCGACATCGGCAAGTTTGCGATGACACCAAAATAGGCCGTCGAATTCATTCTGACGAGGACATTCGAGCACTCCAGGAAGATTTGAATAGACTGATGCAGTGGTCGGAGAAGTGGCAGATTTGTCCAGTAGTCGGGAATTATACGCAGGAAAGGAATACATATGAATGACCGCATAGGGGACAGGAGCCATAGTAGGGAAACAAGTGTAGTCAAAGATAAGATAAAACCAATATTGCAAACTAGAATACCGCAGGAAAATAGCAAACAAGAGGACTCCACTAGCAATAGTGAGGATATATTACCAAAAACAAATGGTGGGAGCTCCATTGTTGGTGCTAGGGAGGATAGAAGTAAGACAGGGAAACATGCACCAACAGGGAATACAGTCACAGAAACCCAAGGCAAACGGAAACCAAGCCTGTGCACATACTATGCACTCGGTATCTGCTGGCATGGGAAATCTGGAAAAACAGATGGGACGTGCAACTATGACCACCCTAGGAAATGCCATGCCCATATGACAACAGGAAAATGCAAACTCCCTTCCTGTAAGCTTTTTCACCCTGAACTGTGTACCTCTTCAGTACAGGAAAGACTGTGCTATAATTTAAATTGCCAGCATACCATCTAAAGGGACAAAAAGATACAAAACATCCAGGCCATGGGAAAACCTGGGTAGCCACAGCCACTCAAGAGGGAGAGGTTTTTTAGTGCCAGGAAGGAAAAAAAACTGGCAGGAAATGGCAGAAATCGTACACCAAATCCAGTCATTCCTGGAGTGGAACCACAGTCGATGGCCTCCACTCCAAACCAACAGATACAGATACTAATGCCGGAAAAAAAATCCCCCCCCAGTACCAACAATACCACCAGTCCGATAACATTCTTCTTTGCAAATATACAGGGTCTAAAGCCAGCAACAAACAACAAAATACCTTTCATCCGTGGACTGCTTGCAGAGGCAAAGGCAATGTTCGCGGCTTTCACTGAGACCCACATAAAGGATCACTTGGACAATGAAATATGGATCCCAGGTTACAACCTATACAGATGTGACAGAGTGAACAGGCAAAAGGGGGGGGTTGGCCTGTACATTGCAGAGTCACTTGTTTGCACAGAACTGCTAAATGCCTCAAATGATGTGTGGAAGTTTTAGCAGTAAAGGTCGAGAACCAAAACCTAGTCATTGTGATAGTCTACAAGCCTCCGGATGCAACATCCCAGCAATTCCAGGAACAGCTGTTAAAAATTGACCACTGTCTGGAAAACCTTCCAGCTCTGCACCCAACATCTTGCTCCTGGGGGATTTCAACTTAAGGCACCTAAATGGAGGAATATAGCAAATAATATTGTTGCAGTAATAACCCCAGGAGGCAGCTCTGATGAAAACTCACACTCACGCGAGCTTTTAAATCTCTGCACAAAATTCAATTTAAACCAGCAAATAATAGAGCCTACTAGACTGGAGAATACACTAGACCTCATCTTCACTAACAATGATGATCTGATAAGAAATATCACCATATCAAAAACAATATACTCAGATCACAACATAATTGAGGTTCAGTCATGTATGCGCGGAGCCCCAGACCGACATAATGAGATTAGTCACGAGGGAGCATTCACCAAATTCAACTTCAATAACAAAAACATAAAGTGGGACCAAGTAAACCAAGTCCTAACCGATATAAGCTGGGAAGATATACTAAGCAACACAGACCCAACTTATGCCTAGAACAGATTAACTCGGTAGCACTCGATGTATGCACAAGGCTTATTCCTCTAAGAAAAAGGAGGAGTAGATGTAAAACAGAAAGAGACAGGCGCTCCCTTTACAGCGACGGAAAAGAATAACAGAGCGGCTAAAAGAGGTCAATATATGAAATGCGTAGGGAGACACTGGTCAGAGAAATAGCAAGCATCGAACTTAAGCTAAAAGAATCCTTTAGGAGTCAGGAATCGCGGGAAGAACTAAAAGCCATAAATGAAATCGAAAGAAACCCAAAGTATTTCTTCTCCTATGCCAAATCAAAATCGAGAACAACGTCCAGTATTGGGCCCCTACTTAAACAAGATGGGTCCTACACAGATGACAACAAGGAAATGAGTGAGCTACTCAAGTCCCAATATGACTCAGTTTTTTAGCAACCGCTAACCAGACTGAGAGTCGAAGATCAAAATGAATTTTTATGAGAGAGCCACAAAATTTGATTAACACAAGCCTATCCGATGTTATCCTGACGCCAAATGACTTCGAACAGGCGATAAATGACATGCC